AAAGGACTGTGCTGCTATCAATTCAAGTACATACCAATTATATTTATGGGCTTAGACACCTAATCCAACACAACGATGTTCTATGTTAGATGAAATATTATTTGATATATATACCGTATATGTATTTTATAAATTTAATACATTAGGTCACAAAGGGTAGTAATAGATACCATAGTATGATGAAAGATAAAACGCCATAGTATGAGGAAGAATGTAGGGAATGATAGGATGCCATGACTTTAGGAATGGTACGAGTATGCCAATGATGTAGAAATAGTACTAGTGTGCGAACGATGTAGAAATGGTACTAGTATGCCAACGATGTAGGAATGGTACTAGTATACCAACGATGTAGTCACTTAGCAGAGTACATGCGACAACCACCAGACTATTCATGACCGTCCCGTGGAAAAAAGGCAGGTTTATAGCCTGTTTTGTGCCTATTTGATGTACTCTAACCTACTGACACGTACTGCAGAGAAATCCCTGTAACAGTACTATCAGTAACGATGATTAAGATGATCATTAGGACAAATCCTTAGGAATAAAAATAGATAGAAACCTACTGACATATATTGTGGAGAAATCTGTGTAACAGTACTGCCATCAACGATGACTATGATGACCCTTAAGATAAACCCTTAAAGAAGAATAAATAAGGAAATAGAGATGGATAAGTGGGTTAATTTTTTGATAATTAAACATATTAACTATATTATTGTGGGGTGAAAACCCTATGTACTCACCAGCTTTGCCAACCTGCTCCACTCAGCTTCTTCGTATCACAAGTAGTGGTACCAAGTTACACGCACGATGAGAGATTCAAGGAGATGTAAGCTGTTAGTCTAAGATAATGTAAGACCTGTTTATGCTTATGTTTTGTATCATTTATGACATCCCAAGCTTTTTATAAATAAATGAAAAACATTTTTTCTTAAATACTTTTATAGGACCAAATTCCACATTTATAACTAAACTCTGTTTTAATGCATAAACAAAAAGTTTTAAAATGGCCGTAAAAATGGGGATGTCACAGTTGGTATCAGATCATTAGTTTAAGAGAACTACGAGTAATGATTTATTTCTAGACTTAAACTTAGAATGTTAAGTGATGATTGTGACATGTGTGTCAATTATATTTTAGGTAGTACACCTAAATTGACACGAGCACTAGCTTACTTTAGGATAAGATGCCTAATTTGATTTTATGTGCTAAATGGTATGTATTATAGATGCCTTAGGTTGCCTATCTAGTTTTCCTTAAGGTTTGTTGTCGACCTTGAATTAGGAAATTTTATGTGTTCAAGTTTCTAAACGTTTAATTATGGTATTAGAACTGGCATGTAACTTTTCGGAGTAATAAGGAGGATTACGCGTCTAAACCTCTCTCTATCTATATTCTCGTCTCGGTATGCTAAATGCCGTTTTGGTATCTAGAACGTCATGATGAGAAGTCATAGTGGATTAGGAAACGGTAACGGGAATCAGCAGCCAGAGCCCCCTATAGTCGAGCGTGCACCTGGAGGAGTACCAGTAGTTGAACCCATCACAATGGAAATGATTCAAGTTCTGTTAGCGAAACAGAGGGAAGAAATGAGACAACACATTCAAGAAAATGGAAGAGAGCCTATTGTGCCTTTCATGGAGCTTGAGCTTAATGAGGACTAATCTGATGAAGGAAATTACAGTAGGACAATGATTCTTTTGGAACCCCAAGTGATTAGGAGGAATAACTCTGAGGTGGGGATTAAAGGAGTAGGATGCAAGTACAAGGAATTTATGGCTGCCAAACCACCAAGTTTTTCTGGGAGCCCAACCCCACTAGAAGTTATATACTGGATTTCTGATATGAAAATGGTGTTTTAAAGCTATGACTGCAGCAACCGACAAAAGACCATCTTAGCGGTTAGGCAACTCAAGAAAAAAGTTTTGAGATGGTGGAAGTTATTGGTTGATTCCATGAAAAAAGGAGAAGCGGGGAAGATATCTTGGGAGAGCTTCCTGGAAGAGTTGAAAATGCAGTACTACACTGAACAAGATCTTCTGGAAATCAACAATGAATTCCATAATTTGAAGAAGGGCAAGATGAGCATCAACGACTAGGGATGAGCATTAGAACCACTGGAACCGGAACATGATTTAATAAAACGGTTCGGTTAACGGTTCTCTACTTATAGAAAAACCGGTCCCGATTCCAAAACCGGTTCAGTTCTACAAAAAACCGGTTAAAAATTGGAACCGGTTTTTAAAATTCCATAACTCACTCATATGAAGTCGAAATTACTTGATTTTTTCCATAATGTAATTTAGTGTTTTTACTTCATTTTAGACTATAACAAATCATATTTTGGTTAAATATTGAATCATATAAAAGCCCCGGAAGACAACATATCAATGCTACGTTTTTATGCTTCAATATGTTTTTTTATTCTGACCCGGTTTTTAAAATACCGTAACTCACTAATATGAAGTTGGAATTACTTGATTTTTTTTCAACATGTAATTTAGTGTTTTTACTTCATTTTAGACTGTAACAAATCATATTTTGGTTAAATATTGAATCATATACAAACCCCGGAAGACAACATATCAATGCTGCATTTTTTCTGTTTCAGCACGTTTTTTTACTGGTTTTTAAAATACAGTAACTCACTCATATGAAGTCGGAATTACTTGATTTTTTTCAACATGTAATTTAGTGTTTTTACTTCATTTTAGACTGTAAAAAAACATATTTTGGTTAAATATTGAATCATATACAAGCCCCGGAAGACAACATATCAATGCTGCGTTTTTTTTTTCAGCATGTTTTTTTTGTCCCGGTTTTTAAAATATTGTAACTCACTCATATGAAGTCGGAATTACTTGATTTTTTCCAACATGTAATTTAGTGTTTGTACTTCATTTTAGACTGTAAAAAAACATATTTTGGTTAAATATTGAATCCGATACAAGTCCAGAAAGACAACATATCAATGCAACGTTTTTTCATTTTTTAATATGAAAGTTTAATTGCCTTTTATTTTTTGGAAGCCAACTAAACTACGTGTATGTATTATGACTTGCATCATCATTAGTTTCGCCTTATTTATAACCGGTTCTTGTTTGAAAAAATAACCGAAAAACCGGGACCGGAACCGGAACCGGTGGTCCGGTTCCTGATTCTTATGATATCGCAATACTGGTTCCGGTTCTGGTTCGGTTTCGGTCCGGTTCCAAAGCTCATCCCTATCAGTGACTATGCTGCAAATTTTACAAAAAATATGAATCTAGTCCCTTACTTGGTTCCTACCGAACTTACCAAAGAAAATAAGTTCTCTATGGGACTACTAGCGGATTATGGGCCAACAGTAAATCTAGCAACGACCCTGAAAGCGGCCATATGGGCAGCCAAGAATGTTGAGACCCAGATAAGAGAGAAGAGCCTGAAAATAGATGAGACGGGAGAGAAAACGAAGCTTTAGGAATCTTTGAGGTCTAATAAGAAAGGAAGATTCTCGAAGTCCAACCTGGACAACAAAAAGTCTGGGGGTAGTGGTGAAGAGAAGTGGTGTGAGAAGTGCAAGAAGAAGCACTTTGGGAGATGCGACAGAGAAGTGACTTGTTATAAGTATGGGAGGACCGACCACTATTCCAAGGATTGTACGTTCAATGAAAGGGTATGCAATAGATGTGGAGACAAAGAGAATATTTCAAAAGAATGCCCAAAGAAAAACTAAGCGGCAAGATTGAATGTGCCACTGAAGGCAAAGGCAAGAGCATATAATATGGTCCTCGATGAAACAACAATAGGTCGAGAATATAGAGCATCTTATCCATAGTTTAGAATGAGTAGCATTAGAATGAGTGGCCTGATGTAATAGGCATGTAATATAAATAAATATTGTAACTGTCACTACAAGAAAAACAGCCTTTTACGAAGCACAATGTGTGTCGTAAAACGCTCAGACGACGCGCAAATGCGTGTCAAGGAAGGCCCTGTCGTAACGAGAGACGACACGCTTTTGCGCGTCGTCTATAGATGACGCGCATTTACGACGCACATTTATGACACGCAATGCGTATCATTAAAGCCGCTGTCAAGAAAGCCCATGTCATAAATGAAGATGACACACATTTTTGCGTATCGTAATTTTAATGTTTTTTTTTTAAAAAATATTTATAAATTTACTAATTTTCAAATTAAATTTGCATTTCATGTATCATAATAGAAAATAAAATACCATATACAAAAAATACAATGCATTGCACAAAAGTTAATGTCATACAAATAATCATTCCAATAGTAGACAAATGGATAAATCTCAAAGGGTTCAAAAATATGTTTGTCTTCTAATAGAACTTATACATAAGAAAGTACTGAATTTGCTATTGAGTTGAGATTGAATCCTCCCCCCAATGCCATAACTATCTTTCCATTGCTAAACTCCATCAACAAAACAAAACCATCAACCAC